GTGTGATATAGAACCGCAATAATTTTGGTAAATATATGCTACGTGTTGCATAGGAAGCAAACACGACAGCAATTAATGACTCACCTCACCGAGCAAGCATTCATGAGTGTTTCACAACGTAAGACTTTCTAGCATTATTTATATTCATATAAATGCTAATGAATCTAGACATATATATGTGTCTAGATTTATTAACTTCTATAAGAATATGTGCAATGCTATAAAGTCTTGCAATATGAAACGGCGGGAGTAGTATATATCCACCGGAAGGGTAAGCACTAACAACTAATCCTTCCGTCCCACGAAGATGGTATTTTTCAGTTTTTATATAATATTTAAATCTTCGTCTTATTTAAAAATTTTATATGATTAGTATTTTTTTATTGTTTTTAATGATAAAATATATATGATACTTTATGCATGATTAATTTTTTTATATTTTTTTTATAAATTTTTAAATAAGACATATGGTCAAATGTTGGATATAGAAATTCAAAAATAAAGCTTTATGGGACGGAGGGAGTATATATATGGTGCAAGTGACAATATCCTCATCTCATGATGATGTGAACCACCACACAAGGTGACAATCATAAAAGAAAGAGGCAATATATATACCAATGACCACAATTAATGACAAGGGCATGTGAAGTGACAAGGACTATGGCGCTATATATATATATATATATATATATATATATATATCACCGTTGTTAGGCCTTGTTTAGTTGGGGAAAATTTTTAGGTTTGGTTGTCACATCGGATATACAAACACACATTTGAAGTATTAAATGTATTCCAATAAGAAAACAAATTACAGTTTCCGCCAGGAAACTGCGAGACGAATTTATTAAGCCTAATTAATCCGTCATTAGCAAATATTTACTGTAGCACCATATTGTTAAATCATGGCGCAATTAGGCTTAAAAGATTCGTCTCGTAATTTACACGCAATATATGTAATTGGTTTTTCCTTTTGTCTACATGTTATATTCCACACATGTGTCTAAACATTCAGTGTGACAGCGTGAAAATGCTAGTTCTGGGAACTAAATAGGGCCTTAGATTCCGATCGAGCAACCCTTTAGCTAGCTAAACTATTGAGGGTTTTAGCCATTTTGCATGCTAATATTTTAGTGACTTTCGCTCTTTTTTCCCAACGGACTCGTCTTCAGTAGCTCAAAAATTAAAATTTGCCTTATATAGCAACAAAGCACGTACTTTATTTCTTATCTTCGGTCTCTTCTCAACTATTATGTGCCTTTGTTTAATACCGGCACTTTATTTCTTATCTTCGGTCTCTTCTCAATTAGTTTATTTTTGGGAGCTAATCCCTAAAACACGTTTTAGTCTCTTCTCAATTAGTTTTGGGAGCTAAACCCTAAAAAAAATGAAATGACTCATTAGCGTGTGATTAATTAAGTCTTAGATAATTTTTGAAAAAAATAAATTAATATGATTTTTTAAATAAGTTTTATATAGTAAAATTTTGAAAAAAAATATTGTTTAGCAATTTGGGAAGCGTGTGTATGAAAAATGAGAGAAAGGAACAAACGTATTGGATAGGTGGGAAGAAACACCTGAGATAAACTGGGTCTAGGTGAACCGTCGTATATAGTGCTATGTAGCAGGGAAACTACTATGTAATAAAGCAACTATTTCCTTCAAAAAAATGTAAAGCAACTAGAACTTCCAAACCAGACGACGTTATTACTCAACCTTTTCCACTATAAACACCTGTTCACATTTCAAACTTAGTCTATATTCATTGTGTTTTTAGGTGATGTGGCATCGAAATCACAATATGGTCCTATAGTGAAACTGTAGTTCATTTTTCAAATTAGTAGATGACCTAAAAAATCATAAAATAGTCTCGTTTGCACGCGTGAAATAAAGTATAGGTAAACCTGCACAAAAATATCTTCTAGTACGAATGGAGCAAGCTAGGCGGATGATGAAGGTGTCGCAGCTACGAGCTTCTATAGCCTACTGGATGATACTCCCTTCATCTCTAATTGTTTGACGCCGTTGACTTTTTTAAACATATTTGACCGTTCGTCTTATTCAAAAAAATTTAAGCAATTATTAATTCTTTCCCTACCATTTAATTTATTGTTAAATATACTTTTATGTATACATATAGTTTTATATATTTCACAAAAGTTTTTGAATAAGACGAACGGTCAAACATATTTTAAAAAGTCAATGGCGTCAATCATTTAGGGAAAGAGGGAATACCATTTAGCTCTTTTTCTTTTCAGGTTGTAATAGTTGTAGCTTTGTGCTATGGGAAGCACTCTGAAATGTGTGGGGTTGGGGCCTGATCCTCCTGTTTTATTGCACCTTTGGAAATTGGAAGTTCCGGTTGGGTCTCCTAGTCCTGTTTTTCCTTCTAGTTTTTTCAGACCTATGTAACTTTTGGCTTTCTCCCCAAAGCTGGGTAATGAAAATTGCCTTCTCTCTAAAAAAAATCTTCAAGTATAAGCCGGTATCATTTATGATCACTTCCGAATGTGCCATCAAATCTGCCCCGCCATCTCCACATTCATCTAAAACACACAGAGAGCAGTTTGAATGCATTGGCCTCATGGTTATAGTGGTCGGGTGTGGCAGCCTTAAGGCCTAATCGATCGGATATGATGGCCTTGAGCTCGTTTGGATGTCATGTGCATTTGACAACGTCTTGCTTCCATCTCTCCTTATAGTGGACAAGTGTGGCAGCCTTAAGGTCTAATCGACTGAATCTGATGGCCTTGAGCTCATTTGGATGTCATGTGCATTTAACGATGTGTCGCTGTCTTTCTTCCATCCTCTCCTCACACATATGTTTAATGCATAGTCGAGAGTAAAAAAACATTCTATATCTTGTTTCTTTCTCTAGGGATCTCAATTACCTATTTTTAGTATTTATTTTAATTATTTCTATACAATATCGCCGCTAAACACATATGACAGAGCATCGTCTAATTTGCAACTAAAGGCTTATATACAAAATAAATGCGCAATACAAAAAGTTGAAAAATATATCACAAACATCATAACATGGATAAATATGTTTTGTTTTCTTGTATTTAACTATTGTCCATTGGATATATGTATATTAATTTTCCTTTCAACTAGGTGCACACTCTAATGAATACAAAATATATAATGACACCTGTTGCTAGTACTATATCTCCAAGGCCATGTGTCAACCACTGCCTTATAAAATTATAGTTAGACTATATTGAAACCCTCAACCGAAAGCAATGGGCAACGAAAACAACATAACTTTTTATATATATTGCAGGCCTTCCATTGTGAAAACATAAATAAATATTGTCTCACAATTCCACCTCTAAAGTCTGTGGAAAGGAGTTATTCACTCTAAAAGCTTTACTTCAAACTTTTGCTCAAGGGACCGGACTTCAGACTTTTGCACAAGGGACCGGGCTCAAGGTTAATTACCATAAATCTTGTTTGATTCTAATAAATGTCAGTGAGGATAAGGCTCAAATGTTGGCAAGTGTTTTTGGCTTTGGTTCTTTAATTGCCTTTTAATTATCTAGGTTCTTGTTTAATAGGAATGTTTCAGTCCAGTGTTCTTTGTCAATTCAATTTGAGAATAACTTTCATCTATCCCCCCCCCTCTCTCTCTCTCTCCCTCCCCGCAAGCATATGATGAACTTCAGTCGTTATCAGATATGATAAGTGAGGTTGATCAGTCACTAGAAAGTGATAAATGGATTTTTATTTGGGGAGGATTGAAATACACTTCACAGTGTTCTATGCTATCAATCAGAGTCGGTATATTTTGGGATACCTCTTTGAACATGGACAATATGATGATGGAGGCCAGAAACAACTATCAAGGTCGATGCTTTATGGAAAAAATTCTTGTAGGGGCTTGGAACATATGTAAGCAAAGAAATGGTTTTATTTTTCTTAATAACAAGTCACCCTCTTTACTTTCTTGGAGGCAGCTTCTTTAGGGGAGACTTCTCTCTTTTGTTGCTTAGGATGTAGTCAAGACTTGGATTCGGTTAATGTAATTTTGTATATTTAGACTAGTTTGTTTTTCTTTTCTTTCTCAAGAAAGTTTAATTTAACAGCGGAGGCCTCCCCTCCAGTGTTTTTTTTAAAAAAAATTATACTACACTTTCTCCCTTTCCACCAGGGCTTTGATGAACTTCTATGAAGTAGGACCTCCATCTCCACCATATATAATCTCCATGGTATCACTAACCCTTATCCATAGTTTTGCTTGCCTCTTCCCAATCCTTGTGTGCCTAGATTAATTAAGATATATGTTAATTAATTAATAATGTCTTATTTAAGACTACCTCAATATATAGTAGCATCTAGCTAGATCAGATCAACAACAAACATAGGAAATTCGAGATAATGTCTAAATCCACTCGGAGCATTGCTTAGTTCGATCAATCGACATGACTGCTCAACTACGTTTTCTGTCCTCTCATAGACTTTATTTTTTTTCTTTTTCCCAGGCTCTTCGATCTCATTCTCATAAACTTTGCCATCATGGCTTTAGCCATGTGTACCATGGAGTGGTCTGACCCAACAATAAATTGCCATTCTCGCTCTCTCTCCTTGAAATCCCACACTCCAAGAGGAAGAACAACCAAATGTTAACGGTTTTTTATTGTATTTTTTTTAAATAAAGAAGATCAAGAAGAGGAGAGCAGACTTGTTGGCCATGTTGTAGATCCTGTAGCAATAATAATTCACGACATGATGACATGCATATATAGTCCTAAATACGCACCCCAATCAAGTTGTTTGTTTTAACAAGATAATGCAATATATGGATAGAGACTTCTTATTTTCAGATGTGCATATGTCATAAATTTAACACACAATCATGGGAGCAGATACCATCTTCCTGTACTATTCTATTTTTTTTTACCATGTAAGCATACACCTCATATGCTAGCTAATGCAATATGTGAACAAGAATCAGGTTAGAGGACTGATAATATTATATCCTCCGTTTGCAACATTAATATATGGCTGGTGACACCTCCATCACTCTTCCTCATGTGCATCGATCAAAGCAACTCCTGTTCTTCACCTACATATAGACCTGCCGTTGCTCTCCATCGTCTTAGGTGCAGGGATTTACCTGAAAATAGTCTCTGCAGTCTGCACGCGAGGACAATGGCCTCGCGTCACCAGCTGCAGACGATGCAGTTCACGGACCCGGCATCTCGCAGCCCACGTCCGGTCGGCGGCGGCGTCCATGGCCAGCCGCCGCCGACGCCCATGTCGTCGCCGTTCTCCTCGCGGAAGCCAAGGTAATAATTTGAGGATTTTCTCTGATGATCAGCTGTCTTCTGCATGCATATCGAGCAGCAATGCCGTTCGTTTCCTTCCCTATTTCTTTTCGTCGTCCTAATTATACGAGAAAACATATACATATGCATATTGGTTTTGTGCATATCTTAGCTATGCAGCTGTGTTAAGACTGATCTTTGATCAATGCGATTGTATCATCTTAATACTATACGTATAATTAATTAGCCGAGTTTAATAAAAACTCCCATATATGTTCTAAAACACTTATCCATGAATACACATATTTACTTACACTAACTCACTAGATATAGAGACCATGATAGAAAATCTATGGACGTTAAAATTTCCTAGTGAAACATATAGCCGGTGAGTACATAATCTTGAATCTTGATGCATGGATGAAGTCATGCACACCCATAACCTCAATGCGCTGCAGATCTAACACTACATAAATTACCACTGCAAAGTGTGTTCTCGATGCGAGGACCTTATTAACAGAATCTTCAAGCTGAAGAGTCCCGCAACGCTGAAGCTCCAAAATATTCAACAATGAGGAGGCACTATAATATTATTCAACTAAGGCCTTGTTTAGTTCCAAACTTTTTTTTCAAACTTCCAACTTTTCCATCATATCAAAACTTTTCTACACATATAAATTTTCAACTTTTTCATCACATCATTCCAATTTCAACCAAACTTCCAATTTTGGCGTGAACTAAACACACCTAACATCTCTCAGGGAAATAAATCAGGTTCTCCCTCTCCCGCTGGAGTTATTAGGGGCACAATATTTAATCTGTGACGTAGGGCATATTAGTTGCTGGACAGCAGCGATTATAATTCAATAGTTTGTCCAAGTTGAATATGCTGAAAGAGTGAAGTCTGTGTGCCTTGACCTTACAATTTTACAAACTACTATAGTCCTTTTTTTTAATGAGTACAGAAAACAAATTATGTCCGATACATTGCATCTACAGCGTGCTCCGGATAATTTTAGCACTAAATAATTAGGCCCCCACATATGATATATATATATATCATTCTAATTCAAACTCAACTCACCCCAAGTGGTATATATGGAGAGGCAAGTGGCAATTATCTATACAGACAGTGTAATTTTCAGTTATATATGAGTACTTTGGCTCTTGGTGTGCATGAGGAGCTGGTATCCCACAGTATATATATGGAGACATATAACCTCTCAGGACAGTACGTGTTGCACGTTGCATAAATGATGTGATTATACTGTTGGCTTAGATCTTCCAAATCATATTATATGGCACAGTATTCAAAGTAATTAAATATTTAATTCTCCACTACTAATAGCAGCAATCTACATAAAATTAGAGTATTTTGAAATATATATACACACAGATCTAAGTATATGTGCTGGCTAATAAGAGCAAGTATAATACTGAGATATAACTCTACTGTAAGCTTACGTGGAGAAGAGATATAATATAAAATATCATGCAAGAGCTAGCTTATCACAAGCTCCAAAACAAATATATTAAATGTATAAGTGAGAAATGGAGAGAGGAGAAGAAAATTGTAGCCAACCTATATATGTTGGCTTTAAGATAGGCTAATAATAGAAAGTGAACTCTACTATTATCCTTGCTCTAACTACATGTAGAACGTAATTAAGAGGGAGGACCACAAGCTGTTGTGAAGGGGCCGGATAACTAGTATATGTGATGGTTTTGCCTTCTGTACATCTACTCTCTCTATCCCATAAAGAATTAAATTCTGGGGATGAATCTGTTCCCAAGATTTGATTCTTTACGTGACAGAGGGGGTATGTTGTTAAAATCGTGATACTACATCGAAATAGGAAGTTCTAAGTAGGAGCAAATAAAAATTGTAAATCGTCGATTTTTCTACCTATGTGTACTGAACCATAAAATTAGGCACTTAGACGTACTGTCAAGCTGTAAAATCGTATGACATAATCGAGATTTTGATAAGTTTGCCTACATAGAGAAACTGCTTAATTAGGATACGTTGCTAAGCTGCTAATGGAACAGATGATGATATCAAAAGCTGGACTGCTAATGGAACAGATGTGATGATCGCTGTGCAGCTGGACTACTGGAGAAATATGACGGTCTATATACACCACCATTAATTAGTGTGCGACAATAGAGTGGTCAACAAATTTATAAAGTAGATCTACGTACTGCTCCCTCCGTCCAAAAAAGGCAAACCTAGATTTCCTTGTCCAACTTTGACTGTCCGTCTTATATGAAATTTTTTTATAATTCATATTTTCATTGTTATTAGATGATAAAACATGATTAATATTTTATACGTGACTTGTTTTTTTAATTTTTTTCATAATTTTTTCAAATAAGACGGACGGTCAAACGTTGGGCATGGAAATCAAGGTTTGTTTTTTTTTTTGGGGACGGAGGGAGTAGGCAGGAGAAATGGTAGTAGAAACATTAACCAGAGCTATTGATTCACGTGGGTTTTTTTGAGATAAAGAAAACTAGGTGAAATCCCGCACATTGCTGCGGGAATTTAGTATGATAACAATAAAAAAAATAACGTGTAAGATAGCTATGATAGCTAGATAACACCATATTAAGTAAATTAATGTGGTTTATGATAATTTAAATTTAAATAGTATGTAGAATGGTGATTCAAACGTAAAAAGTAAGGTGGTATGACTTTATAGAAGAAGAAAAATAGGGAGATAGTTTGGGTGTGTGGACTGTAGATTAATCATCTAAAGGATAAAAACAATTGATGGGATATGACTTAATTAGAGGAAAAAAGGAGAAAGATAATCTGGACCATAGATTAATCATTTAATCACTAACTAAGTGAGGATGAACTATATAAGTATATAGGGTATCATAAAACATAATAAGATGTATATTGAAACATTATGTGAATTATATTGGATGATAATTTAACATGTTTGTATTTGAAAAGCTCTTAAATTATAAAAACTATAAAGACATAGCATGTTTGCATGATGTTTAAATGTGATGATTGTTAGTGGATGATGATGTGGCATCTTGTTAATTAGTGGATTAGTGGATGATGATGTGACATCTTTGCATGTTAAGCTTAAGGAGTTAGTGGGGGATTACTATAATAAGATAGGAAATGATGAAATATGTAGATCATTTCTACTATATATATATATATATATATATATATATATATATATATATACTAGCTTTATATTCCATTATCTAAATATATATATATATACTAGCTAGTGAGACCATCGTAAAAGATGTTAAGATAGAAAAATATAACAAAAGAGGAAGGTGGAGGACGCTGGGCCTAAAACCTTATCAACATATTTAATTATATACATGAAATCCTTGCTTAAAACTATTTGCGATGAATTTATTCAACACACATTGAATAAACATCTACTATCGTGTTATACGCATTGTTTCGTCTTTAAGATTAAGTCCTTGCTCTTACCTCACTGGCCTTCTAGCAACTTGGTTAGTATATATCTGGCTTGTCTTCTATATGTGTTCTAGTTTTCCTATAAAACCCTTTTGTTTCAGCCCGTTTTTATATGGCAAATTGTTTGATATGACATATTTGAGGATATATTTAGAGTGGTGTGCATTATTATTATTATTATTATTTTGACACGAAAGGTGTGCATTATATTATTATTGTGCATGCCCTCACATAACTATATATAAACGAGAGTAGGCCCATTATATTCCACAACCTTTTCAAATTTACCATCCTCTGAGCCTAATTTACAATTTATGAATTTCTTTTGAAGTAGTTAATTACTTTAGAGTAAAATTATATAACGTGGGTCCATTATTTGTCAAATAAAATGTACCCTTATCTATATATGAATAATCACTTCATAGGAGGTGTACATGCATACATATCACCAAGATTTCTTTTTTTTTTCCATGATTTCATTGACATTACTTATTCCTTGTTTGGATGGTGAACAAATATTGAACAAGTATCATATAAACGTGTACAGTTCTACAATATAAACGACAGTACGTACTTGTACCGTATACATATCTTAGTACAAATTCCAAAAGTTGTGCTAGCATATGAAAATCTATTATCTTCTATTATATACTAAAAGTCCATTAAACTTTCTATAAACACTCCTAAGCCGCCATGTGGTATCCTATAAACGCTCCTAAACTGCCACATAGCACTTTAACAAATAACCGTTGATTTCTATTAAATTTGGTGGACCCATTATTTACAACCATTGGATTTTTTTTTTAAAAAAATATCATCTCCTGAACTCGGCCCACCCAGCATTAGGTAGTTAAGTACATACGTACGTACGCCTTCTCCCTTTTTCTCTTTTCCATTAATTCTTTCTCCATCTTCATGCTTTATTTGTTAAAATATTAACTATCTAAGATATCTAAATCATATAATAGTTTTTTTATCCATCGATGTCTTTATGACCAAATTCACGGTTAAAGACCAAATTACACTATTACTAAAATATGAAAATAAATATGTTACTTTTGGGCTATATTTTTTAACTTTTGCATGCATTTCAAACTATTAGAAGAAATATAAAAAACAATAATAATAAATATTTATCATCCTACATAACTTCACGATAATTAATTTAGATCTACATTTCTAAGAGTAAAATGAACATAACTAGGCTGTGTTCATTCCATGGGTTACGACCTAATCTCTAGAGCACCAGAAGAAGCGACTCATTAGCGCATAATTAATTTAATATTAGCTATTTTTTAAAAAAAATGATTAATATGATTTTTATAAAGCAACTTTCGTATAGAATTTTTTAAAAAAAAACATACCGTTTAGCAATTTGAAAAGTGTGCCCTAGAAAAAAAAAAAGAGGAATAAGTTGGGAAGTTAAAGCAAAGAACAAAAGAAGTAATATTCCCGGCCTAACTCATCTCAAAAGAGGGGTAATTATTTTTCTAATTAGGTATTACATCTTAAAAATTAGAAGGAAGAATTGAAGGAAAAATTTTAAGTCGCTATGTGTTACATCTTAATAATTAGCAAAATAATAATTTGAAATTTTATGAACAAAATAAATCATTGGTTTTCACTTAAATCATTTATTAAAAAAAAAGGAGAGAACCCCCTCCCCAAAAACATCCTCTCCTCACATGCGCACAAACACAACACTACCCGTCTCCTCACTCCTCGGTTCGCACTTTCCCCTCTGCCCCTCATCGATATTTTTATAGCTATCAAACTAAAAGGAGAAATAATTTTTAAGCCACACATTTTATTTCTAATATAAATTGCTCTATTCATAACGCCTATGTTTGAAACTTAAAATAAGGGTAGTATAAAATAAAACAATAAATAGAAAATATTAATAGGAACATTGTTTCCTACTTTTCATTAAAATTGGAACAACCATTACATGTTCCATTGCCATAACATTTTTTTAAAAAAAAGATACTATAGATCACGCATATATCAGGGATGGAGGTCTACAAAATAACTTTTGAAATTTATATGTAAATATGTAAAAAATTGCGTCAATATGAACCAACTAGGAGGACTAGCTTGGTACACATAAAACATATTCATTAACAATAATAGTTATTTAGGATTTGCTAAAAAAAAGAAAGCTCCTAAACATTCTATTAAACAAGACAAAACACCACATGTCACCAAACAAATTAAATCAAACTCCTTTATAGATAATGAAGAGATGGTACAAAATTGTTTATAGGAATGTATTAAATATTATATATTTTAAAAGCTAACAAATAGATTGAAAAATTTATCTAAAGCAACACTCATTTTAAGTTTTCTTCAAACATAATCTATAATATATGCCCGCGCAACGTGCGGGCTACCTTTCTAGTTTTAGATAATGTTTTCATATTTCCGTAATACTATTACAGGATGCAGGAAGGGCATCCAACATGTGTCAACCTTACGCCTATACCACATACAGATGGCCATCTCTGGAGGAAGTATGGAGAGAAGAAAATCAAGAACTCATCGTTCCCAAGGTACGTTTTGGAAATTTTCAACATCCCCTATATTACAATCCTAACTCACGTATAATCATAATGCCCATTGTGTTATCCGAGTTAAAACTAAACCCTAAACAATTGAGAGGCCGCCCGTATGAGAAAAGTGGCATTGAAGTAATATATACAAAAAGAATTGAGTAGGATATTATAATCTCCGGAATGAAATTTCTTACTTTTATGTATCACCATTCACCAAATATATATAAGTATTTGTTTTCACTAAATATACATAAGTTTCATTCTGTACCAATCTTTGTCATCACCCAGGTATGAACCACATCTTTATTAATTAGTATATCTTTTGATCTCTACACTAAGAATGCACACAGCCATAATTGTGTAGTCCGGGATTTCAATTTGGGTTAATTTTGGTGTGGATGGACCGCGAGTATCATGAGGCATGACACTATCACACCTATATCACAATGTTTTTAAAGAAAAAATAATATTTTCTAATCTTTGGTGCACGTACTAATTGCACATTTCATCAATCTAGATTATGTACCTGTATTTAGTATGTTTGGTACTCGTACCTACTAGTCTACTACCAAAAACTCGAATAGCCCCCAGGGCAGAAAATTAATTTACCTGACGTGTGTATTAATTAATCTGTCACGAATAAACCAATCTTTCAGACGTTGGTGTAAAACTGTCGCGATCTACAGGCTATACTACCGATGCTCTTACCGGGACGACAGGAATTGCATGGCGACCAAGGTGGTGCAGCAGGAGAACGACGCCGACCCGCCACTCTACAGGGTCACCTACATTCACCCGCACACCTGCAACCCATCGCCGCCGGCCCCGACGCCGGCCCATGTCTTCACCGAGCCACCGCCGGCCAAAGCGGAAGTACACCACGCGGTGTTGTTCAGGTTCAGCTCCACTGCCGGCGGCCACACGGCCAATAATGCAGTGCATCGTCAGCAGTGGCAGCCTGCGGCGGCTACGATGGCGGCGGGGGCCCAGGCGCAGCTGTCAATGACGATGAGCGACGACGAGCGGGAGCAGCCGCCGGCGGCCATCCGTTCTGCGCCGCCGGCACGGCGGCTGTCGATGTTCCGCGCCGTCGTTGATGGACTCAGGCAGATGCGGTCGTCGGCGCCGCCAACACCGTCGTCGTCGATGGTGGTGGACGACGGATGGGACACGTTCTCGTCGTTTGATTTGGATACGTGCGAATTCAGTGTCGATGACGAGTTGCTCTGTGGTGACCATATGTATTTCCCGGACAGTATGCAGCAATAGTAGTTCTGACGAGCCTGATGGATGTTCAGACTAGTCGATCCGTAGTACCACTAGATTTGTCGTGGAATTATTTTGGTGCCATAGTATTTTTTTCTTTTCTTTTCGTGAGCATTTCACCAAACTTATAGTCATGAAAAATGCATATCGGAGCGCGTCATGAAAAAAAAAGAGGGAGAGCACACTGGAGTCCAAATGTGTTGACATGCATTGTGAATACATGCACTCCTTATCACTCTTTGTTCAAAGCACCTACCGGGCTCTTACAAGATTTTAGTACCAATCCTACCTAGTAACATGCGCGTGCTATTGCTATGGCCATATTTGGTGATGATACAAATTAAACAGTTAAAATACAATTTATGTTTTAACAATTAAACATACAATGAGATGGATATATGATTCACATAAAAACAATGATTAAGAACATTCCAAAGGGACCATCCGGCAACAGGTAAAGGGTAAAACACACCAGATAAGAGAAATGCATTAGTTTACCCAAACAGCAATCAATCCTTCCCGAAATGAATAATTCATTTTACACTTTATCAACTCACCATGGAAAGCAGATTCTGTCTTTGATGCCCACGAAATCATGCATGGGCAATATCTCAGTTGGTGACAGATATACAGTGCTGAAAATAGTTGAGAAAATTGGGAAACACTTTTAATCACCTATGTGGACATCCACCCATTTATTGCACGTCAACTAAATGGGTATGAAAAAAATTCAAAAAATTTGACAAGATAGATGTATCACCCCACAAACATGTAAGTTCAAATTTGACTTTTACAAGATGTAACAAAAATAGCAAATCAAACTCTAAATAGTATACGTATATTTACAGTTAAATCTGATTTTTGTTACGACTTATAAAAATTGAATTTTAACTTGCATGTTTGTGGAGTAATATATTATATATCAATCTATCTTGTAATTTTTTTTGAAATTTTTTCAAGATCATTTAGTTGACATCACTATACGGGTGGACATCCACTCGAGTGATTAATTAGAATCTATCTCCGAGAAAATTCTATATTTCATCACATTAGTGCCTTTTGGTGTGGATCAGCAACCTATGGTTTATTTCAGTTACAGACAATGCAAATCACAAATGAAATCTTTGGTTCATATGCAACTTGGGTAGATGGATCTTTGATTGAAGCAGATCGATAAAGCAATCCATGCAAGCTGAAACTCTTTCCCAATAAATACGGTTACAAATAAATAGCCGCACGGAAAAAAGATATATTCCACGTCACATACAACAGAATAATTAGTTGAGCCTTCTTAACTACTAAAGCTTTAGATACAGGTGCTGATATTTAGGACAATAATTGTTCAGCTATTAGAAACAAAATCTAATAGTATAATGCAAGAGTTCCTGTTGTAAACCAGAGATTGACCATTTATCGTTGTTTGCAAACTGACCAAAATTCAATGTACGGAGGTTTCCCTGAAATTACAGAATTGATGTGTTTTACACTTGTTCTTCAAGAACATGTAAATGTACGTACTGCATGTCCTTGATACAAAGAAGAAAGATAGGGGCTAGACCATATTGTATTATTTCTTCTGAATAGTAAAAGGGTAATGTAGTTAAAGGGCTTCATCATGCTCACAAGTAAAAGAGACAGCTGAAACGCACTGATTACTTGAAGACGATGAGGATATCTATCCATTGAATTACACATTATGTGCAACAAAATAACATCTTGTAAAAACTTGGCACAAGCCATGCAGGTAGAAGTGTCACATTGAAAGCCATGCAGCTAGTGAACATTAAGCAAACATTATAACATCAACAGCAATACAAGATTATTTACCGAAAGTCTCCCAAATAATCACCCAAGGTTCAATTCACTCCAATTGATCCAGCTTCACGTGCTTCCTCAAAATATATTTAGATCCTTTCAGGAGACCAATCTGAAAGCTCTACTAATGTTCTTCCAGTCACAGTAAGAAACAAAAGAAGATTTTAACAAACATATCAGTGGACGAAAACAAAACAAAACAAAACAAAGAGGACGAAAACCTGGCATTGGCAGACCTGCTCATGTTCAAAATCTATCTATCTATCTATTATTATATACTAAAAGTTCATTAATCTTCCTATAAACGCTCTCATGCCGCCATGTGGTGCTCTAAAAACGCTCCTACGATGCCACGTGGCGCCCTAATAAAATAGAAAAAATCATAGAAATTTTGAAAAAAAGAAAAACATCTCACCATTGGTTTTCACTTAAATCAGTGGCCTCATTATTTTTAACCATTAGATCAATTTTTGGGAATAGATAACTTAAACCAACCTGTCGGCCTATTAGATCAATCTCAATGAATTCGTTTTCTCTTCTCTTCCCCTGCCGTACGTGCACACCGTGCATATGTGCTCACGTATTTCTTTTTCTTTTTTTGCTCTTCCCTTTTCTCGTAGCTATTTTCTAACAGCTCAATATAAAATAATTTAAAATTAGCTAAATCATCATGATTCTCAATTTATATACAGTTTTCAGTTATCTATACTGTTTTTATTTGTAATTAAATAAATACTTTAAAATCCGTATTACATTTATTTTGCTAGGTAAAAAATAAAATATTGAACATAGAAAAATTTTGACAACAGTTATGTCATCTTAAATCATTCTACATATATAAATTTGTACATTAAATATCTTCTAGGCGCAAGCCATCACCCATCACATCTTAAAAATTAAGAAATGTTGTTTAAATTCTATAAAAAAAATATCTAACCATCATCATTTTGCACTCAAATCGGTAGACCCATTATTTTCAGTCATTAGATCTATCATTCTACATTCATAAGCCACTACATATCACATCTTAAAAATTAATAAAAATCATATAAATTCTAAAAGAATGAAGCATCCGACCTCATTAAAACTATTATTTCACCCACTAGATCAATCTTTAAAAAACTAAAAAAAAACAGAGTATCATCCCACTACCCCTCCTCCTCACATGGATTTACAAGGCACCATCTTTATATTATAAAATTATAAAAATATAGTAAATGAATAAAGATATCGTTGGAGTGTATAAGCATACTAACGAAAACATGAGGTAGGGCAATCCTCAATAATTAATTAACTCAGGTGCCAAGCATTAGATTTTTAACTTATGTGGTATGAAAACTATTCTACATGAACCAATGAGACTACTAGAATGTTCCATTAGGATATTTCCAAGGCTACACGTTGTCGGCGATGGAAACAACAATTAATAAAAAATTCATATGAAAAGAATTGTTATCTAGTAGAGAGAGCGTGTCTAATATCATACCATGAAAAGACGACCTTGCATGAGAAATAACATGTAAAGGTGGGCTAATGATGATCATCTAGATGATTTAAACTTTAACTCAAATGCTTATCTCAACATTGCTTTGCACTATGTTATTATAACATAACTTTATCTAATATGGTCAATACTATCGACAACAGTAATATCCTTAGCTCTCCTAAGATTTCTTTCGAGGCCCTAACAAATTAGAGAACAAGTCTGATCACAATGGGCCATAGTGAGAATGCACGGAATTGTGCAAGCCAAGGAATCCCGATAATGAAATTGCCTAAACATCAACTCTATTTTGTACTAACAAAGAATGACATAAGACTAACAAATTAGAGAAAAGTCCGAGCATGGCAGGGGTTGTGCAAGCTAGGAAATCAGGGCAATGAAATTGCCAAAACATCAACTCGATCTATTCTGTACTAACAAAGAATTGCATAGGAACCAACTCTACTGTTGAAAAATAATTTTGTCGTAAATTCAAGAATCCTCAATTTTAATCGATTATAAATTTAGAATTTATGTGTTTTAAGGATCGTCATGAACAAAATCATAACCAATTTTCAAAACAATCCCAAATAGATTTTTGAGAGAAGGATCATAAGTTTAAAATATGATTAAAAAGCCAAGTAAAAATCACCCAAATTTAAATATTCACGGATCTATTATATACTAAAATTCCATTAAACTTGCTACAAACGCTCTCAAGCCATCACGTGGGACTACAAATGCTTCTGAACCACCATGTAGCACTAATAGATTATAGAAATTATAAGGAAAAATAAGAACATCTGGCTCTTGATTGTTACTTAAATCGGTCGACCCGTTATTTCCAACAATTAGATCTAATCTTTATAAAATTAAAAACAAATTGAGAAGGATAGGTGTGTTGATAGTCGTTAGCAATTAGTTTCGCCCGTCAATATTACCTAAATAGAGGAGAACTAGGTATGCTTGCAATACATATTTATGTTTAAATAATAAATATTCCACTAGCACTAGGATTATTAACCTCTTGCAGAGAATGAATATAAAATGGAGGAGAATCGACATCAAAACAGGCGATCAATCAATCGGGCGATGTCAAGAATTAGACTTATCAATGAATGGGCAAAGAACTCAAAAATGACACAACCAATTGGGCCAAAATTCATAAGTCTGCGGAGAGGAGCAAAAGAGGATGCCACCTGCCGAATTTGGGCCAGGCTGGTCCCAGCCCATGGTTCGGCTGAACCCGCCGTGCCGCCGTTGGATGCAGGGCTTCTTCTGGACGGCTTGGATCACTCCCCAATGACGGTTGGAGGGCAATTCTGGCCATTCCAATCGTCATAACCGTCATTGGAGAGCTATAAAAAGCCTTCACCTCCTCACTTTTCCCACACAGCTCAAGCAAGAAGCTTCATACATCTCTCAAGTTTAGTATAGTCTCTAGAGTATAGTGGAATAGAATTAGAATAGAATCTTCAGTCCTCGGAGTCTTCGGAAGAATTCGGGTATGGCTCTAGTAGCTTTTCTATCTCTTTTAAGACTTGTACTTTCTTTAGAATATTCTTCTTTATACTACTTTGGTATTGTATTACTTTCCGAGTATATGAATACCAACTTTATTATATATCCAAGTTATATTTATTATGATGCTAGCTTATCTGGGAGATGCAATGGTGTGGGTATAATGATTGTATTTACTATGACTCTATGTCATGACGATGATATTAGAGTAGTATTTGGTAATTTAAGCGTGGTATTTAGATTACTGGATATCATTATTTGGGGTTATATGCTGTGGAAGCAAGATGGGCCACTGATGGTGACAGCTCAGTACGGGTATTCCTCCG